TTTTTTCCTTCCAGATCTTTGTTATGCTCGCAGTGGTTAGCTTCAGTTATATAATTGCTTGAATTTGTCACACGGGACATGTAACAATTGTTGATGAGCAAGAATTTATTCATCAGCTCAGTCATAGACAATTAAATCTTCAAAATAAATATATGAGAAACAACGACAATTAACAACTACACTGAATGAAAGAAACAACAGTATAGGAAAGTTGTATACAGCTAAAAGCAAAAACTAAGAAATAAATAACAACAACTAGGCACATAAACTTAACATCTCATTACATCTTCACATCTCTCTCGTTTTAAAACCTTCTTCCTCTTTGCACTATTATCATCCTACGTCCACTATCAATTGTTCTTCATGGTCTTGTTGCTCGGCAGCAATCTTCTTGAATTGAAATTACAAAACTGTCTGAGAGAGGTTCTATCATTTTGTTCAGACCTTGTCCAAATTAGGAATATCTGTCACTGCCGTAGGTGTGCGCACTGAGTTCTTAAGCTGGAGTTTGTAAAAGTTCTCTTTCTTTTTTGCTTTTCTGCGAAAAGATTTGTACACTGCTTATAGAAGGTTTTTTTGAGCAAATTTAGGAATAACTATACGTGTATATACCTCTTTGTCGTTTTCAGCAATATTTGTCTGACCAGTAAGCAATATTTCGGTAAAATAAAGTTCTGTCAAGCCTAGTTAAAAGGCAGTTAAAATATGGTAAAAGATAACTGTGATAATAAGCTTAGAATCGTGCCAGCGTTGATTCATTGTATATACTAAGTAACAATTTTTGTAAATTCAGAAACAAGTAAAGAATTTCAATGAGGTTAAAGAAAAAAATTCATATTTTTATTTAAACAGTTTTTCGTAGAACACAACTTTAAAAGGTCGTTTGCAGTTGAATGCAATATGGAAAGTAACGAGATTATGTGTGAATTAATTAGTCCACCTGAAAAACAAGTAATACTTTACAATGACTGTATTAAAATTGTATAAATAATATAGTAATTTGATAATTAATATATAAATAACAGGTTTTAAAATTTACTAAAAAGTTTGTAAAATTATTTCTGTTAAAAGTACGAGACAATTCAATTTTTTTTTTAATTTGAATAAAAACGCTAACTTTTGCTACTATCTATAAACAGAAAAAAGTGTTTATTTTTAAAATTATCTTATCTCGGTAAGTCAACTAGTGTTTTAGCAAAGCTATAACGTTTACTCGCTAAAGTAGTAGAGGCAAAATAAGTGTAATATTTTTAAAATTTAGGAGCCACCAGATGCGGATATTGCAGAAACATTAACTACGGAACACTTTACACCGGTGACCAAAACAGTTTTTTACACCACTTTTTTTTTATAGCTACCCAAACCTTAAATTAGAGAAAAAAAGTGAAAATATAAACAAATTGTTATAATTTTTTGCTGTTCTTCAAAAAAAAAAAAAGCCGATTGATAAGGCTGTAACTGAGACTGCTTGACGTGTAATATTTTAAAAACAGAGATATTATGACAATGGAGTCTTTTTTTACTATTACTAAAGAGGAACAAACAAATGAAGAATGTGTGTAAGAACTATTGAAAAACAGTGCTATTCAGAAAAGTTCGTCTTTAAGTTGCTATTATTTGTTTCCTACACTACAGGTAAACTGAGTTGAGAACTAAAACAAAGTTTTTTTTTTTTTGCAGTTTAATATAAAAAAGTTTATTGAGTTGTCAAAATACGATTTGTGATTTTGAAAAAATGTGGTTTAATAGATGATAAGGACATTTGAAGAACTACAAGAATACATTAAATCAGAAGACGATGAAGAAAAACAGATTAAAGAAAGCATTCGATATGGTAATAA